AAGTTGGTAATGATTGTACTTCTGTATCGCGAAAATCTAGGGAAACATTGAACAGCTAAGCAGTCATCGGCAGAATAATCAAAAAGAATTTCAGACTTGCCGCTCCAGGTTGAGTTGATGTACGTGGTCAGCCATATTACTCAGTGTCTCTAATCACCGGTTACGACCATATTGAGGTCCCTATCCAGGGAACCTAACGCGACTCATATGACCGAGCATCCTGGTTAGAGTTTTCATTCCTTCGGGACAGGTCTGCTTTTGACCACCCTTCGATTTTTCCACCTACTACCTGTCTCGGCAGGCATCCAGCGCCGTGGAAACTTAGTTGGTGACATACCTCAATCAACGTAATCTATGGAAGTCGACAGGTCGCTCCAGTGGGTGGCCGCGGTTACCTAAAACTCTGCGTCAAACCTCAGCATTACTTGTCCGGTTGTCCCACCAGATTCGTGCAATGCTGCACAGACAGCGGTGTTCAAACACCGACACTATCTGTCTTTATAATGTTTTCTTAATGGCTAAGTTCCTGCACCGTAAAGCAGAAGTGGACGAACTGCCTCAGTATAATGGGTGGCGATGATTGAAGGTAAAGTAAATATCATGTCCACCAGATGGGTGCGAATTTCAACCCCACCACCAAAACCGCACAATTTTTCCGTTATGTGTCAATAACCAGCATCCGATCGGTTGCAGTGATTGTATCATTATATTCAATAAAAAGAAAATAAAACAAGAATACGTGAAGTTTAACATCGAACTACATACCGGCTGAAAATGTAAATAAATCCACGATGAAAGAATGCACCTGTTCCTCAGAATCTTCATTTGTCGCAAGACTAAGTCTCAGTTTCAGGTTTAACAAACATGCAACCATGCACTTTCATCCATAGGATTTGGTTGCTCAGACATACTTCAAATTAGATTCCAAATAGTCTGAACTTGGAACTTGTTGTGTTCATGAAGAATAATTGTCTTTAGCTGATGAACATTGTGGATTCTCTTTCTATGCGTGGAAACGCGTCTTATCCATAGACCTCGGTCATTTCCAGTGGTGTTCAAACCTGGCCTGTTAGCTGTCCAGTCCATGGTTTTGATATTTCGGTTTAATGACCACATTCTAGGAAAGTGAACTCCATTCCGAAGAGGCATTGTATGGAAAATCATGCTTCCCGAACTACGTTCCAGAGTTATGGTGAGAAAAGGTATATTTTCGGTTTTAGTATGAGATGCAACTGTCTGGTTTCCTTAGGACTTTGCCATCTGAGAATTTCTATCCGCTAACTGGCACCCCGGACCATAACTCGACGGATGAAGATCAACTTGTTAGACAAGTTATGCCAATGAAATATGAGTCCATCAGAACCGTAGAGTTTTCAAACTTTTTCTCGTCGTTGACTCTTGCACCGTTTCATTCAGAAGCTGAAGTTAGGTACTTCTGATTCGCGCATCTCGACAGCCACTATGATGGTCTGTAATTCTTGGTACTGAGTTCATCTTCCTGATTTGTTATTTTGGTGTAGATTATAAAAGTAGCACGCTCACACTCAAATGTAGTAGTCACTATAACTTCGATGCATTTGTTACCCGATTTGCTGCAGCACGTAAGATTCATCGTTTGCCTTTATCACATATCCTTCTTTAAATACTGCCTTCATTCTTCGAGCTATACCATTTCAAAAGTTAGGAACAACCCGCAGTGATCGTCGATTTTTTCCGGAAATCTTGACAATACTGCTGTCCAGGTCTTTGAAGACTAGTGTTTTTTTCTTGTTCGAGATCAGTTAGCTTTGAACTGCATAGTTTTTGACAAACTATGGATGGATGAGCTCAGCCACAATACACGACCTCGGTAATCGTCGTTCATCTACCGTGTGCGGATGAATATTATTCCATATTGTATAACTTGGCATTACGTAGCACATCTGAGCCATGATTGACTCATACACTTGGTGGCGAACTCATAAAAGCGCTTTGGTGATAGCATTGGGAGTAGGATTAATAGCGTTTCGCACCCTCGGGAGAAAGGATAATTTCTACTATAAATCAATGTAGTGTAATCTTAATCAAAACTAGTTTGGTTTTCCCATACAGAAATGAGTTGTAGGATCGTCATACAAAATTTGATCAGTCTAAATGATTTGGTTACCGATCGATTGCAGCAAGACAGGGTGGAGTTAGTAACGTGTCGTGCATTACGGTTATAGGCTCTGGATTCTGACTAGTCACCTGTGTGGGGTTAACTTGGGTGTGGCTGGGTGTCCCGGAACAAAACAGTTTTTGGGGCCTATGCCGACTCTGTGATAGGTTAGCATCGTCAGAAACACCACCACCATTACTTGCAGATATCAGTTTTTAAAAATTAGCACTCCAGCGTCCTCTTCGACGCTCTTCCACACATTCGAAGCTTCAATATCGAGTATTTTCTTCCAAGCCGCTATCCGTCATTTCCTTGAAATACACCTTGCGCGATATTTCCTCATTTATTTTTCTTACGAAGCAGTACTGTTGAAAGTTTCCATTTCTCTGTTCATTTACGCTGTTGTACATGGTTGAAGGTATTTGCACGTTTTGTTTGGTCCTTCATCAGCAATTGTTTATTGCTGTTGGCATACTAAACCATACTATCATATATTTTTGTTCCTCGAAACAACTTCTTGTGGTAGACCAACATGATCTGCTCGCACACTACCTTAAATTGACGTCTGCCGCTTGCCGAGTGCTATTTATTATTTTAATTTCACACACGCTTGAGTTCAGGTTGTGTGCTGAACAAATCACAATACAGTTATCTTTATAAGATGAAAAAGGTTCATGATTTGCTCGTGAGCGCGATACTGCAAGGTTACCCAGGTCAAAACAACTGAATTTCTTAGGGAATTCACAATCGGAGCTTTAGCTAACCCGCAAGGCAGCGCGTCGGTGTGGAAGACGCAATCCATTGGGGCGGGTGTCCAAATCATAAGATGATACGCCCTTTGGACGGGGTCAAACGTCAATGGTGCCCAATCGAACCGATGACCGCTTCCACGGCTAGGTGTGTGCGTGGTCCGTACGCCTCCTTTTGATTGGTTTGCAATCAGGGTTTTCAGTGAACTGCCAGTCTGGTTCACCGACCCGGTTATAGCCCCGGATGTCAACTTCTCGCCTTCACTTTAGTGGGGGAACATCTCTGTCAAGGAAGGAAATGATTATGGCTTCCTCCGCAGCTGATATTTGAGATATTTGGTCGTATGGTGGCATTTTGCTAGGTGCAAGGGAGGGGTGACCAGCCGAAACCCGACGCACCCTATCCCCGATAATACTGAGACTTTCGGACGCTGGGCACTTGCTACTTTGACTTTGTTTTGTGACTGGTAACGAAATTATCGGTGATGTTGTGGCGTTTTCATAGAAGGTGTCCTTGTTAGCAATGTTCACGACGGAGGAATCGTTGTGTGATTCAGTGCGTTATAAATAGACACTTTAGTTATTCAACCCACTGCGGTACAGGTTGGCGGCATTCGGTTGTTCCATTCCAGATTTTGAAATTTTTGCTATGCTAATGAGAAGCTCTTGGGGATAATTAGAATACTCTAGATAACAAAGTCAATATTTTTTAGGGGATTTGGATTTCTTTTGGTTAAGTTACCTCTTGTCTGAATACGGCCAGACTTGGAAAAATATACTACTTGGCTGTTCTTTTTTCACCGAGATTCAACTAGAAATTTAGGATAATTGAAATGGAATGCCAGCAGCCATAGGGTACAGTTTAGTTGGTTCTGTCAGCTCCAGCCGCTACGTTGCGGTTTCTGAGAGAACGGCGAGTTAATTTTATGCTCTAAAGATAAACCGAGGTGATGTAATTCGCACCGCTTAGATAAGTTTTTTCAGATTGATGTACTGGGTTCCATATTCTTAATCTATATGGAAACTTAGTACTTGATCAGGTCTCTGAATGGTCTTTTAACTCCGCTTTTCAAATATACTTCTCCTGTTTTTCGTTTTGTTTTCTCTTCGTAAATGACCAATTTCACTATGTGACCCGATCTACCTGGTTCAGGATCATTCTGAACTCAACACTAGTCTTTCCTGAAATGATTGTTTAAGCAGCGGCAAAACCAAGCTGAACCTTATAAATGTCGTTTAAACTCAACGCTTTAGCCCTATCGCTGGCTTCCTGTGATATTTGCCGAACGGCTGTTTTCTCATGATCATGTGGTCATGTGGCTTGCTTTCTGTTTCCATCACCTATTTTCCGCTGTATAGAATTCCGAGGTTTAAGGATTGCAGAATTCAACTGAATGTCCGTCTGACACTTAAATTCTGGAATTTCATTGACAACAGCGGGATACTGTGTGTCGAATATACCTCGAATTGTGATGTATCCCAGTGTGTAACAATATACATATACAAAGCATTTGGTTGTGATGGTTCTTCACTAAAGGCATATGACTGTCAATAGAATAATCAAACAGAACCCAAATGTCCTAAAACGTCGAAACCAGTCATGTAGGCATACGCACACGGGCACAGGCGGATACAATGTATATGAGTTTTGGGCTGATCGAATAACCAATCATAATCGAAGGACATAAGCTTCATAGTATGTTTGTGCGGAGCCGAATGTAGGAATAAGTGTGGGGAACAGTAGAAATTGTATGAATAAGTACAGCAGCAAAATTAGGCACCAAGAAGGCTATTTTAGTTACTGACCAAAAAAGTCGACACGCTACAAATAATGATTTTTCTTACCTCTTTTGTCACCTCAGTGGTAAAACCAATTTGTTGGAACAATCCTGGGTGCGTGAGGTTGCTGACGTGCATCAGAAAACTCCGGCACAAATTCTTCTCCGATATCTGCTTCAGCGAAACATGATTGTTATTCCAAAATCATCAAAAAAGGAGCGAATTGCTGAAAACGCCAAAGTGAGTCATTCTTAATCGCTTTTATTTCTAATTTCGGTATTTGCACCTAAGAATTTTTAACACATGTTTGGGGAATAAACAGTTGTTTATGTTGATCTTTAATCCTGCACCTGTGGATCAAGAGAAATACTCACAAATATCTATCCAATGTTTTGATTGAAAGCGAATAGTACTCCATATTCGTCGATGCATTTGGGATTTCAACTACGGATCACTCAAACATCATTCTTGTGTGTTATGCTTGTACCACCGGTCACAATGAGATTCATTTTTGTCCGAAATACGCCTGCGCTGGCAAACAGTTAGTTCCGTTTATCACTTATCCTCCTTCACCATCCACAGCTAACTGTGAGTTGATTATGAAAGTGATAAGTTAATCCGTGAGATAAATTTGCAAAGGTGATGTGTGTATGTGTTCGTGCTTGAGTTGGTTAATGGGTTGGCGTTTCCCCTATTTTCACTTCAATTTCATCAGTTTTTGTTCCCTTTCGTGAGGTTCTCCAAGTTTTATTTCCCACCATTCCATAATCAATGACCACACACAGTATTACGGTACTAAACTCCTTCACTGTCGTCCGACTGAATACCACCTATGGAACCGAACACTAAATCCACATAGACATGGCATTCAGGTTTCTCTATATCTCTATCTAGTCTGTTTTAACAGTATGGAACTAACCAGCGCTAATTGTGGATGTATAGTAAATGGATTTGTTATAAAGTTTATGTCGGAACTTCAGTGGGTCCGAGACAAATCTAATCTGCAGTGTCATGCAACTGGATAATGATTCTGTTAATACAGAGAAGTTATCGCAATTAAAATTTAGGCTTTTAAACGTGATCAGTGACTACTATATTTCGTTGTGCGATATTAACTTTTTTGGATGTGTAACAGCCCTTTGATGAGCCACTTTCACCTTCCTAAAAATTGTTTTCATCACATGCATTCAATGAAAGCAAGTAAGAGTACGATAAAAGTTTTATAAAACCTGTGGATCAACTGAGTGGGAGGCTTCGAGGGAGCATATGCCACTTTATTAATTTATTTTAACGTTTGGTGTTTGCCGAACTTTGCAATAAGTTTGCGAACGTTTGATTGTCATCCCATGTGACATTCTTAGGACGATTGTTTGGCGACTGTTTGCAACACTCAGTGTCTCTAACTCCCGGTTGCCATGGTTCCCGAGTCGCCATCCAGGAAGCCTAACACGGCCTATATGGATCAGGATTCTCCTACCCTCATACCAAGTCTGAGTTGGAGCACCCTCTACTTTTTTCCACCCACTACCTGCCTCGGCCATCAGCACGCGCTGTAATCCCCTTGGTGACGTGCGCAACACATGCCCCAACAAACGTACTCTATGGAGGTCGACCAGTCGCTCTAGTGGGTCACCCCGGTTACCTAAACCTTTGCGCCTAACCTAAGCATTGCTTGTTTGGTTTTTCCCACGAGATTCGTGCAGTGCGACGTTGACAGCAGTGCCCGAACATCGGCACTTTACCCTGTTGCATCTCAACATGGTGCATATTGCAGAAAATACAATGTTTATATAGGGTTTTAGCATAGCAACAGAGTGAGGCAAAATACATTAAAAACAGACAAAACATAAAAGAGGGAGGGGTAAAAGGACCATATCACCAGGGTANAGGGAGAGACTAACATACAGTTCTTTTTGCTGGCATAGGGGGGGGGGGCTTCCATCGATTAATCGCAATTGCTTCAGCAAACCTTAGCAATCTTGCGACTTGTGACTTAAAGACAATTTTAAAATTGCAATATGGTCTTTTCTTTTCAAATTAATCTCGGGAAAGGCTTGTTTCACTTTACCCTGTTGTCTTATGACCGAGTTTCCGCATCGTATAGCAGAACTGACGGAACTTCTGCAGCACACACTGACAGCCGGATATCTCGACGGCTCTACAAATCATGTTGGCCAATGCAATCGGGCCTTCTGTATGCGTGCCCACACTTCGTCCGTGATGTGTTTTCCGGGTAACCGTCCCAGTAGCAAAATCTGGTCAGGTGCATCGAATACAGCTAGTCGTAAGAGGCTCGCACAAATGTTTTAATAACCAGATGGAACCAAATTACTTGTGGTCGTTACAGATGAGCATTGAACTGGATCACGTGTACACGCCAATG